AAATTACCTAATGACCGTGGTCTAAAGGCCATGAAGGTAAGGTAATGACTAATTCAAAAGTGGCACATTGCTTTGTCGGCTTTAAACCGACGGATCAAACTACTCTCGGCGAGTTGAAACATTTACTGCACTCACATTTATCTGGTAATGTTTCAAGTATAGTATGAATCATAATTTAGTACATCTGTTGTGTATATCGTCGTGCACTGTATGTTTTCAATTCGTGATATGTCATATGTTTATCATTCATTTAATGCTATTTATATTATATATTTAATAGACGATATGCATGGCATGTCAAATATGTTAAGTTTGTTTCCTTCATAATACTAAACAAGTTATATGTGCTTATGTAATGTTTAACATATAATCTCTTGAATACAATACAATTGTCAAATATAGTGTAAAAATAATGATCGAGAGATTATATTCAATATAACAAATATTTATATAGTCTGTTCGGTATCATGCTTGAAACATGTTTGGAAAACGATGCATGTGACATTCGTATCTCGTCTATGCACAGTCTAAGACAGTATATATGTGTTGTACGGTATGTCAAGTGTATCGTCTAACAAATCTTTTTTGTGCATAGTACTGAACGGGTGAGATATAAACATATGATTGGCATATACGTATTTATGTTACATTCAGCGTATCTGAGAATTCCTTCGTACAGTCGTATATTATGTTCTGAGTGATCATTGTCTATGGCACGTGCAACAAATATACGGTATATGACGATATGAATGATATGTGAAAAACAGGATCGATTATCTGGACTGTTCTACCTAGCCTTGTCGTACATCCTTCAGAGTTTATACTGTGGACGTTTTTTATGTCCGATTCCTTACCCTTCTAATTAAGGAAGCGAACAAATATGACTGAGGATGTGAACAGTGTTTAGTACGTATTTGCGGAATGGTTTTTAAATAGTGGTAATGGTTTTCAGACATATTCCGGACTATTTTGCGTGGTGGTAAACCCGTATCGACGGCTGTTGATCTATACAGAGAAAATCATTGAACTGTACAAAGGAAAAAAGCGTCATGAAGTGCCTCCTCACGTTTTCGCTGTCACCGAGACCGCTTACCGCAACATGCTTCAAGGTAGTTTATTGGATGATTATGGTCTCATTTCCTACGGGGTATGTTACACGAATATTTCTCTTTCAGAGAGAGAGGATCAGTCGATCTTATGCACGTAAGTAGTACCTTCCTCGCGGCGGCTCACTCAGCCAGCGTTTACGACTTTATCGTAAACGAATGATTTCAGAGGCGAGTCAGGTGCCGGCAAAACGGAAAACACTAAAAAGGTTATTCAGTACTTGGCATACGTCGCCGGTCCTTGCCGCAGTACCAAGACGACGCAAGCGCACACGCCGACCACTCCGATGCGGGTAAGCAGTTCGTCAACTGATCGAAGTCGATTTTTGTGTTCGATTAGAGCTTTTGAGGGCCTGATTTTGCTGTTCGTTTCTCACTTCTAATAACTCACTTTTTTGACTTAAGCACTTGCCTGTTGCTAATTTCTTTTTACTTATCATTTTATTTTGCATGTTTTCGGTGCTGCAGCCAAAGAGCAGTGAATCCGGTCTGGTAAGTACTACTGTCTGTTTTGTCAAGCTGCTTTGCTTCTTCTTTCGGTTGCGGTGGTAGTCAGTTGTGAGGTGCAGCGGTCACGGTCGATTTCTATA